GTAAATTTTTAAAACTAGTAAAACTCCAATTAATTATATTTTCAATTTGTTTGTTAATTAATTCTAATTCATTTAAATTATTAATCATATCATTATCAATTGTAATTATTAAATGATTTGGAAATTTTATTTCATTTTCATCTTTAAATTCTAAATTATTAACATTTATTGTTTTGGATTTAAATAATTTTATAATCATTAAATATATTAAATATATTAAATATAATATTAAATAAAGTGTATGTATTATATAATTAAGAATTCTTCTAAATATATTATTACTATTATTACTAATATTATTACTATTATTATCAATTTTATCATAATTCAATGATGAGCCTAATGATGATGATGATGAGGCTTTTAAAGGTGGAGAAGGAGAAAGTGATTCCGTTGTAGTAGGTGATGATGATGATAACTTTCTTGTTGTTGATAATAATTCATCTTCCTCTTGTTTTATATATTTCTTACTAGTCGTCAAGTTAGGCTGATGATGATGATGATTATTCTTGTTGGACATTTTTTTGCAAATTGAAATTTCGGAAATTTAAAACACGTAAAATTCATTGAAGGCTTGAAAATTTAAACTCTTCGACACGTGTATGAAAAACAACTAGATTGTAAAGAGATCTCTTAATATTAAATATATTTAATGGATGAGAATTTCATGATAACATTTCTAATAAAAAATTAAATATAAAAAAATGAAAGTAATGAAATATGCTTCATTGTACGTTTCTTTTTTTAAAGGCTTTTTTATTCATCATCACTTTATCATCATCAAATAATCATCATAATCAACAACAACATGAACATTATCATATATACATCATCATCATCAATATAATAATAATAATAATATAAATATAAATATAAATAATAACAAGTGGAATGATAATACCAGTTATATTAGCAATAGTAGGAGTACGTGATGATGAAAAGAAAGGATTAATGTTTCATAATGAAAGACTTGAATATGAAGAATTATTAAGAGAGAAATTTCATGTACAAAAAAATCATAGAATGTATGATCAAATTAATCCACAAATATTTAAAAATCAAAATCCAGCACTTTTACATCAAATTAGAACAAGAAGAGATTAATTATTATTATTATATTATTAAATATTATTGTAATAGTATTATTGTAATAATTAATTTAAAAGAAATTTATTCATTTAAAGTATTAATTTCAATATTCTTAATATTATTAACATTTTCAGTTTCATTTTGAATTTCTAATTTTGGAATTGTAATTAAG